CATCTATAAATATATTAACAACCACGGTGACATCACACATCCTTGTCTAAGCCACTTTACTGGGAAAAAATTTACCTTTTTCCTACATACTCTAACTTGAGCCTCACTATCCTCGTAAAAACTCTTCACTGCTTTCAGTAACCTACCTCCTACACCATACACTTGCAACATCTGCACATTGCCCCCTTATCCACCCTGTCAAAACGCCTTTTCCAAATCCATAAATGCCACAAAGACCTCTTTAGCCTTATCAAAAATACTGTTCACTATATGTTTCACTGTAAACACCGGGTCCACACACCCCCTACCTTTCCTAAAGCCTCCTTGTTCATCTGCTATCCTATTCTCCGTCTTACTCTTAATTCTTTCAATTTATAACTCTACCATACACTTTACCAGGTACACTCAACAGACTTATCCCCCTATAATTTTTGCACTCTCTTTTATCCCCTTTGCCTTTATACAAAGGAACTAATGCATGCTCTCTGCCAATCCCTAGGTACCTTACCCTCTTCCATACATTTATTAAATAATTGCATCCAACCACTCCAAAACTATATCCCCACCTGCTTTTAACATTTCTATCTTTATCCCATCAATCCCGGCTGCCTTACCCCCTTTCATTTTACCTACTGCCTCACGAACTTCCCCCCACACTCACAACTGGCTCTTCCTCACTCCTACAAGATGTTATTCCTCCTTGCCCTATACACGAAATCACAGCTTCCCTATCTTCATCAACATTTAACAATTCCTCAAAATATTCCCTCCATCTTCCCAATACCTCTAACTCTCCATTTAATAACTCTCCTCTCCTATTTTTAACTGACAAATCAATTTGTTCTCTAGGCTTTCTTAACTTGTTAATCTCACTCCAAAACTTTTTCTTATTTTCAACAAAATTTGTTGATAACATCTCACCCACTCTCTCATTTGCTCTCTTTTACATTGCTTCACCACTCTCTTAACCTCTCTCTTTTTCTCCATATACTCTTCCCTCCTTGCATCACTTCTACTTTGTAAAAACTTCTCATATGCTAACTTTTTCTCTCCCTTACTACTCTCTTTACATCATCATTCCACCAATCGCTCCTCTTCCCTCCTGCACCCACTTTCCTGTAACCACAAACTTCTGCTGAAACACTCTAACACTACATTTTTAAACCTACCCCATAAACCTCTTCGACCCCATTGCCTATGCTCTCATTAGCCCATCTATCCTCCAATAGCTGTTTATATCTTACCCTAACTGCCTCCTCTATTAGTTTATAAACCTTCACCTCTCTCTTCCCTGATGCTTCTATTCTCCTTGTATCCCATCTACCTTTTACTCTCAGTGTAGCTACAACTAGAAAGTGATCTGATATATCTGTGGCCCCTCTATAAACATGTACATCCTGAAGTCTACTCAACAGTCTTTTATCTACCCAAAACATAATCCAACAAACTACTGTCATTTCGCCCTACATCATATCGTGTATACTTATTTATCCTCTTTTTCTTAAAATATGTATTACCTATAACTAAACCCCTTTCTATACAAAGTTCAATCAAAGGGCTCCCATTATCATTTACACCTGGCACCCCAAACTTACCTACCACACCCTCTCTAAAAGTTTCTCCTACTTTAGCATTCAGGGCCCCTACCACAATTACTCTCTCACTTGGTTCAAAGGCTCCTATACATATATATATATATATATATATATATATATATATATATATATATATAATATATATATATATATATATATATATATATATATATATATATATATAATATATATATATATATATATATGCTGTGAAAACAGCATTAAGATTTGCATGGACACAGCTGCTACTGCTAAAGTTCTACCTGTCTGCAGGTATTGGGAAGTACACAGCCAAGGACCTGGTGCGTCGAGGAGCGAGGGTGATCCTTGCTTGTAGGAACCTGGAAAAGGCATGCAAAGTGGCAGGTGAGTGAGTGAGAGAGAGAGAAAGAGAGAGAGAGAGAGAGAGAGAGAGAGAGACGTAATAGTGTGATATACTCAGAATTCAACTACATCTGAGAGCGTTGTCAACAATCACAAGTAACTCTTCCTTCTGTTGCATCGTCAGCGGAGATCAGAGAGTCTCCAGGTAGCGTCGGGGAGGTGGTAGTGCGACATCTGGATACCTCCGACCTCGCCTCCGTCAGGAAGTTCGCCGAGCAAATACTCCAGACAGAGACTGCCATCCATATCTTGGTAGGTCTTGGAGGGAGTGAGGAAGGGAGAGAGAGAGAGAAGGGATGGAGAGAGGGATGGAGGGATGGAGGGATGGAGGGAGGGAGGGAGGGATGGAGGGATGGAGGGAGGGAGGGAGGGATGGAGGGAGGGAGGGAGGGAGGGAGGGATGGAGGGAGGGAGGGAGGGAGGGAGTCAAGCACACAGGTGATCAAACTAAATGCAAAGTATGTGGTCAGTCTTCTGGTTTTTAACACTATGTGCTTAATAATCTACTAATTAAGTAATACACAGGTAGACAGTTTAATAACTTATGTAATATGTCAAGATATCGCATTAAAGAAAGCGAAAACCAGATATTTTATCTTTAGACAAATTGACTGGCGCAATTTGACGGGAAATTTAGAGTCAAGCGACTTTCTTGATACGATTCAAGATTGTTTTTCAAAACAGTTTGTGACAGAACCAACTAGAGGAAATAACTTGCTTAACTTGGTTCTTGCCAGCAGGGAATCGCTAATTAATAATCTTGAGGTTAATGATGAGCTTGGGGAAAATGATTATAAATCACTCAGTTTTAATATATCATGGAATTACCCTAATAATGGCAGTCAAGTCTCTGTCCCTGACTTCCACTTGGCCGATTTCAAAGGACTGAGAAATTTTTAACACTTACTTCCTCTCAGTTTTTATGCAGGAAGATACTAGTGATATTCCAGAAATAATAAATTATGTAGAACAGGACGATAATAAATTATGCACGATTAGGGTCATGAGTGACATGGTCCCTAGACAAATAGATAAATTAAAACCTAACAAATCCTCAGACCCTGATGAACTGTATCCAAGAGTTCTAAAGGAATATAAAGAGGAGTTTAGCATACCTTTGGCTAATCTTTTCAGCATATCAATACAAACTGGCATAGTGCCTGATAAGTGGAAAATGGCAAATGTAATACCCATTTTCAAAGCAGGTGACAGGTCCTTAGCCTAACCTCCATAGTGGGAAAATTTATGGGAATTAATAATTGCCGAGGCAATTCGTAGCCATCTTCAGAAGCATAAATTGATCAACGAATCTCAGCATGGTTTTAATAAAGGGCGTATTTGAAGAGGTAGATCATGCAAATGAATACGATATTGTGTATATGGACTTCATTAAGGCTTTTGATAGAGTCCCACATCAGAGACTATTGAGGAAAATTAAGGCACACGGAATAAGATGAGAATATTTTTTTTCCAGGATAGAGATATGGTTGACTGATAGGCAGCAGAGAGTTTGCATAAATGGGAAAAAATCAGAGTGGGGAAGCGTCACGAGCGGTGTTCCACAGGGGTCAGTGTAGGGCTCCTTGTTGTTCACTATCTGCATAAACGACATAGATGAGGGAATAAACAGCGATATAAGCAAGTTTGCCGATGACACTAAAATAGGCCAACGAATTCATTCTGACGAGGACATTAGAGCACTCCAGAAAGATTTAAATAGACTGATGCAGTGATCGGAGAAGTGGCAGATCAAGGTTCATTTGGACAAATGCAAAGTTCTAAACACTGGACAGGAAAATAACCATGCCACATATAAACTAAATAATGTAGATCTTAATATTACTGATTGCGAAAAGGATTTGGGAGTTCTAGCGGTGCATAAGAGTTTACATTAAAGCGAACAGAACCCTTGGCTTCTTATCCAGAAGCATAAATAATAGGAGTTAGGTTGTTCTTCAACTCTATATATCCTTGATTAGGACTCGTCTATAGATTATGCACATTAGTTGCACTTGTGTCCTTTTACTTTACATATCCTAAAGTTGCTTGTAAAAGATTTAAATCCAGATATACTATTGTTACCCCTTTTTTTGGGCCTAGTTCCTGGGCCTATTGTGTATCCATATGCTCTTGTGCTACCCTATATAGGATAAATATGAGTACACTAAAACTATCCACTTCGGCGACAAAATCTAATATTTCAATTCTAAATCTTATTATTTCTCTCTCTCTTTCTCTCTCTCTCTCTCTCTCTCTCTCTCATCTCTCTCTTCCTCTCTCCCCTCCTCCCCTCTCTCTCCCCACCCTCCTCTCTCTCTCTCCCCTCTTCTCTCTCCCCCTCTCTCCCCTCTCCTCTCTCTCACTCTCTCACAGATCAACAACGCTGGTATCCTGGGACCGAAGGAGAAGCAGCTGACCAAAGATGGATTAGAACTGACCATGGTGACCAACCACTTCGGTCACTTCCTCCTCACCAACCTCCTCCTAGGTAGGTCCTCCTCCTAGGCAGGTCTTCCTCCTAGGTAGGTACTCTTCCCCACCTACCTTCTCCTCCTCTTCCTCACAAACCTCCTCTAGTCTCATTTCCTTCTCTTTCTCCTCATAATAATCATCAGGTTTCTCCTCTTCATTACTCGTCTCTTCCTCGTCCTCCTCCTCACATTCTCTGTGGCGTGTGTGCTGACTAAATTCCATTTATTCTATAGTCTTTAAACACCCACTGGCATGCCCTCACTACCAGCCAACTGGTAATTCAGAGTATAGCTGTTCTGGGGCCCCTCTGCTGTGTCAGTTGTCCAGTTCAACCCACCAGTGAGATCAGAACCTGCCTGGCTGTGAGGCAGACTCTCACTTACTCTGGTCTAGTCCACTTTTTCTTCTCTCCGAATGGATAGTTGTTCTGTCTTTATCTTTATTCTGGCAACTTAACTGTGTAAATAGTGTACGTACGTAGCAGTAGAGAAATAATATACGGATTAGAGAGAAACTACTCGTTCTGTGATCGCCTTGTTCCTTTATTGCCAAGTTGCTAGTTGTGTTGCTGACTTGGGTTATGGCAAGGTGCAACACTGCTTCAGTTGCTATCTGTGTTCGTAATAGAGCCCTACACAATTCTTTTTATTTCTCTTATACATTCTAATAATAATAATAATTATAAAAATAATTATAATAAACCAATAAAATTCAACCACTAACAAATGCATCAACCTGCTTTTGTTTCTGTTGTTACTATTATTGCTATTAATATTGCCCTTTGCTGATGATTTTAATGTTCAAAGGTTGCTGTTGGACTACCGAGGGCGTTTGAACTCCTGATGACCTGAAAATCCTCTCCAGGCTGGGACTGATTACCCCAACTCCTTTTCCCCACTTCCCC